GAAGATAAACAAACGACAAGAGAAGAGAAGAGAAGAGAAGAGAAGAGAAGAGAAGAGAAGAGAAGAGAAGACAAAAAACCCAGAATAAGGACATTCTACCTCCTTTGTTTTGCTGTTTTTCAAGTTTCTAAGCATGGTTCTTGATGGAATCGACGTTAAAAACTACGAAACAAGAAAATCTTAGAATTTTTTAACGTTATAGATTTACTGCGCGTCGTCCTTCTCACCACTCGAATCTTCTGCTAATCCTCGCGCGCTTTTTGTTCCTTCAACACTTCTATACGAAACAAGATAACTGCACTCGCGCTCATTTTCTATTTATTCAACACTGACCTGGCCGCCAGCGCTTTCTACGATTTCTTTCAGAGACGATGGTGATGGTTGTACATTCTGCGTAGCATAGACTTGCACGTCCTGAGAGCAAAAATCAGATTTACAAAAATAAAAACGATCTAGACCCCTTGCAGGTGACGTCAAAGGAGCTCAATTTGAAGGACAAAACGAAACAAAAAATCACTCTCCTGAAAATTGGAAAACTATTATTATATCTTCCAAATTAGGCTACAACCCGACGTGCTGCAAAGCGATCTTTTGGGTATGACGTAAGGAGGGCTTTCTTTCTTTAATTTTAGCTTGGGCGTAAAGTCTTCCCATTTCAGACCACGTGTCATTCTCTACAGTTTCAATTGCCCTATTTCACTATGACATCACTGCTTGTTTATGTGGGGGATAGAATCGCCAAATCCAATAGAAAATTCAACAAAATTTGCTTCTAGCGAAACAGTTTAATCTAAAATGGCCTGGTTTTCAGATATAATGTGTGTTAATATGTACTAAAAAATATCCTGAGCGTTTGCTGACTATTCTACTTCTCTTCGTGGATCGATACGGGTCAGTTTAGAACAATTTTCGGTGAATTTGCGTTGATTTGCCCCCCTCCGACGACCATGATCCTTTGCGTTTAAACAATAGATTGTTTTAATGTGACGTCATAGTGAAATTGGGGAATTCCTTGTTTAACAGTTGCACATGAGAAGACACATAAATATGGATACAACTCAAACAAAGAATCGTATTCTCAAGAGAATGGCACGTGGTCTGAAAAGCAAAAACATTACGCCCAGGATGAAAGAATCCATTGGTAGCAGGATATGATTTACGCGAATTAAGAGCATCATCATAAACTAGTATAATGAAACAAGTTTTCCAATGATTACCTTTAATAGTTTGTGGCTTTGTGCTCGTTCGATCGATGCGGACAGCCTTATATTGAGTTCTTTCTCGGCTTCAACGTCTTCTAATAAAAAGGACTTTGGATCTGAAGGAAAAAATAGAAAATCAACGTGGAGCGAAAGGGGGAGGGGAGAGGAGAGGAGAGGAGAGGAGAGGAGAGGAGAGGAGA